AATAACTTTGGAAATCATCAAATAAGCAGAATCGGCAGTTGTAAAAAAAATGTGCAGACCTATCTACCGCATTCTTACAAAGCAATTAAATGACTCAGTCATGGAATGATGCCTCAATCATTATTCTATATTAAAAAATCTGAGACAAAATTGACTTAAGAGTTACAGACAAATGTGCCTTTGATCTCGCACACAAAGTATTCAATAAGTTGATTGGGAACATAATAATAGGCACTTTATATGCCAAGTAACTATTTGAGAAAGCTGCATTCAGAAAGTGTTTCTATCATCAACCACATACATTGGAATCAATCATATTCTCATAAAAACAACTCAATAAATGTATCTAATTATGCCAAGCCTGTGTAGACTATGAAAAGGAAATTGACAAAATGTTTGCAATCCAAGTAGGCAAGCTTGCAAACCGATGGGACAGCTCCACCAAAAATTGCATGAACAAAAATACATATCAGAAGGGGAATAAGACAAGGATAAACGCTCTCACCTAAGTTATTCAAGGTGACATGAGAATGTCATCCAGTGGTTGGATTAAGGAAATAAAGACAAACATAAGTATATTCTTTAGCCATCTCTGATTTACCGATGACGGTCATTATGACAACCAATGGAAATTAAATGCAGGGAATGATTTAAGAAATTTACTGGACATCTGTCAAAAAGAGCTTCATAGCTCATTGGATTCCTCCAGTCTAAATAAAGATTCTGAAAAATGTAATAAAGGTTTAAAATCGGGCCTCAAAATAAATGAGTAAAACTAAATGCATGTACAACATGTTAACTGAATAAATTAAGATATTCGGGGAAGGGACACCGGGAAAACACATGAGTGAATGTATATCTTGGGCGATTATTGAAGGTGCACCAGGATCAAAATGATAAAACAAATAGGCATACTACAAGCGGGTTGGAGTGTTTAAGAAATTGAATTTGAAAATTATAAGCAACATTCAAATCTGCATAAAGAAGACATTTATCAATCAGTGCATCCATCTGCTACGATATGTTTATTGGACACATGAACATTCTCAAAGGCCCTTGGAAAAAGCTGAAAGGTACACCAAACATGAAGAGGGTGCACGCTTGGAATCACAGCAAGAGACAGAAAGAGGAACACGTAGATCGGAGAACAAACACAAATTAGAGACATCATCTTGACTGTTAAGATAAATAAGTGGGCTCCAGGTAATGCTAACCAGAGGTCGGGACTTCACGATGGAGTGGCAGTCAACTTTTGGAACACACCCCCGAGGATGACCACAGTGGAGGAGTAAGGAGATTAGCTCATCTGCGCGAGCTAGAATTGTTATTTTATGAAACCGTAAGGGATAATTAATGACGTGGGGGGCATTTATCTAGTAGTGGATATATCACAGGTGATGATGAATGTATTGTTCACAAGCAGATTGTGATCTACCAAACTGAAAAAAGTGCAACTAAGAACATCTTGGACAGATTTTATATCTTTGTTTAGTGATCCTTTTGCACAAATGCAATACACGTCAGAAAGACAATGCCAAGGACCTGGTGGCAACTGTTCAGATTTTGGAAGACAGTGTTTCCATCACGCATCTACACACTAGATAGGTAGCTTTGGGCTGAGATCAGGGTTGTCGTTGACTTAATTGTACCTTGAACCTTACCCTTCAAGTTCCAACTCAATGTGCGATTTGAGCAAACAACCGACAACATCGCAAGCCAGCCCTTAGCCCGAATAAACCGAAAATGTTCATCGTGCGTGCCACGTAGCGGCATTACAGAATCGCGCGTAAAGTAGTTAACAGATTGTACACGGTGAGATGGGTTGGTAACATGGGCCACCCAACTCGAGGCCTTGAGCAACATTGTCGATGGTCCATGGTGCATTGCTAGACAGCGCAGGCAATACATTCCCTCCCTGGACCCCCTACCCCCTGGGAACCTTCTCTCCAGCCCTGTCGGGGTAACCTTGTTTAAAGGGGGGGTGGGGCATAGAAACAAAAACTCCGGGGAGTGGGAGGGAGCATGACATCGACAATGTTACATACACTTATTCTTTGGGTCTTTCGGTAAAGTCACGTCGACAGATTCAAAGAGAATGACCACGACCACGTTTCGATCAACACGAGCGTTCGTCATCTTTATTCTTCCTGATGACGAACGCTTGTGTTGCGATCGAAACGTCGCAGTTTCTTTTGTTATTTTTTTTTGTTATTTTCTTTGACCCTATCTACGCGACTTCACCGAAAGACCCCAAAAAGTATGAATTCCTGCAGTCACGAAAGCTTTAAGTCAAGATTTTACAAAGACTTGTCTTGTCCAAATATAAAGAAGTGAACTCAATTGAGTAACGGTACGAATGGCTTTTTTTTTGATCGCGCGTTATGCCCCAGCGAACACTCCCATATGTACGGGTAAAGGCTTTGATGCCTCATCACTTGATTGTTGCCCGTGTTAAATATTGTATTGACGTATTACGACTTAATCAGAATTTATAAATGGGGCCGAGCCTTCATGGGGGGGGGGGGTAAGCCTCCTCAAGCCCCCCCCCCCCACCACCTCTACGGAGCTGTTGCCCTTGAGAACCCCGTCTCCCAGCAACTTTGGTGCAAGGTTCACAATGTTCACTCTGAAACACACGAAAAGTACCAAGGACAACTGACAACACACACATTTCAGCGCTTCCGCTGATACAATCACTGTCAAAGTTAACGTGTCTGCCTTCTCAGGAGCATGCCCATCATCGCCTTCTTTGCAGGCTCTGAGCCAGAGGAAGAAATTCCACATTCCTATGGCGGGGGCGAGTTCTCCATGGTACAACCAGTCAACTTCAACTACAAGGCGTTTAGTTTATTTTTCGACCCAAGGGGGATGATGAGTCAACAACCCCCAACCAGACTTTGAACTTGCAACCTGCAAATCGTCAGCCACTCCCTACTGCTATGCCACCTGGCCGGTTCACACAGCACAATGTAGTGCGCTATGGATAGACTGTACTCTGACAATGTAACACCAAACATTAACATGTACCTGGTGCAGTGATAAACACAACAACAGCTAAATACACACACACGAGTGCTACAGCACTACAGCACTATACACCGACATTTATAAATGTACAACTCAAGTTGTCATTACGTGGCCCGGTTTGGTATTTTTAATGGTTATATATCTTCCACACTTTCACGCCCGCTGGTCACAGTGCGTGGACGAAGATGGTTTTGAGAAACCCGGACTTTTCACTTCCCACAAATGTCATCGGGCGTCGGTGAATCGCAGTGTGTCAACCACTGCGCCACCGATCCCTACTTACACACACACACGCAGTAACATGCACGTGGGTAGAATAGACACACGTGCAAGGCAAACGACCCAACCTCCGATTCGCGTGGTCGGCTACGTACGGTGCGAATAGAAGTTCAACACAAACACACAACCAATCAAATCGCACATCTGATACTCGGTTTGCATATAGGGGGACACGCCGTACACCCGACTAAGCGATCCCCACGAAGGCAATGCAGGCTTGTTGGGCAAGGGCTGTCAGTCAGTCAGGCGAGCATGATGTATGACGAGTATGCATACGTACTTTACACGCGGCCCTATACAATACTTATACCTGTACAACAATAGCACACACACACACGCCCTGCACGACTTACATCCTTACACACACACACCCCCATACATCTCACGCAGTGAAATTCCTTTGCCCACACCTCCCGTGTAAGTCTTAACACGTCTGACCAAACTCAACATACCAGTACTTTGTTTCGTGAATAGCTATTCGGTAGCCACGCGAAAGGCAACGTGAGGTTGTTCGTAATACAACAATCACGACGCACTCGTGCCGAAAATTAAACACACACGCGTATAATATAAATACAATATCCGCATTCACGGACCCATACATACTCACTCACTCAGGGCATGGACAACGTACACGCAGTGGACACGACAAGACTGTGCTCATATATTAACACAACGGGTATACAATGCAAAGAGATGAATAGATACACTTGGAAGAAGCACGCTCGTGTACAGGGACACGCGAATGTCCAACAGCGATCATTGTCCACGAGCGCACACGACGAGGCAGTGCACAATCGGACAGATATACATCACAGAGACAACGTCCCCCCCACACCCCGGTAACGATGTGGGGGCAAGCGTCGTTCATAGCCAGGGAAAGCTGCTCGCTATGAACACGCAGCGAGCAACACGACCACACAACCACACACGTATATAGCCACACGCAAAGATCCCCCGTATAGCCTCAACAGACTGTTGGGGCAAGTGCTGTTCGCGAGACACACACACACATTAATTCACACACACACATTAATTCACACATACACATTAACTCACACACACATTAATTCACACACACATTAATACACACACACATTAATTCACACACACATTAACTCACACACACATTAATTCACACACACACATTAATTCACACACACATTAATTCACACACACACATTAATTCACATACACACACATTAATTCACATACACACACATTAATTCACATACACACACATTAATTCACCCTGCCACGCACGAACACTCACCCACACGTTGACTCACACCACACTCACCCACGCGCATTCACTCAACTCACATTCATTCACCCACACGCATTGGACACATTCCACCCACCACAAACCCCACTCACCCACACGCATTGGACACATTCCACCCACCACAAACCCCACTCACCCAAACGCATTGGGCACATTCCACCTACCACAAACCCCACTCACCCACACGCATCCACACAGATTCACATTCACACAAACAATACACAAAGATCACCCCCCCCCCCCACCACCGTATTAGCCTCATCAGACTTTTGGGGGCAAGTGGTGTTTGCGAGCACTTCTGAATGACCCCCACACACGCACATTCACACTACCACACACACTACCACACACACACGCGTTAACTCACCACACATTCATTCAGACACACGTTCACGTACAACACACTCACCGTTCACCGGGCTCGACGCTGCCGCAGCCAGGCCGGCATTGATCCTCCTCCCTCGCGGTGTCCGAGCCCCGCTCGCGAGGATTCCTTTAAACAGCTCCGGCTTCCTCAACAATAACAGCAGCAGCAGCAGCCTGGACGGCGGCGACAGCTCCTGCACTTCCTCCTCCACATCGCCCGGCGCGGCGCTAGCTGACGAGCGCGGAAGCGCACAACTCACGACCCGCCTACACACAACCCCCTCCCCTCTTGCCGCCCACCACCCGCCCCCTCGGGAGGACCGAAGCGCACCGCCGACGGCGGCGGAGGAACACAACGCGCTGTGGTTGGGGGAGGGGGCGTGACGGAAAGGGGGCGTGGGCCAAAAGGTGGCAATGGGAGTGACGTCACAAGCCAACTAATTTGCATATTATGTCAAATATTAACGATGATGACGATTTTAAACTTGGATTTAATTATATTCTTGATTCTTTCGGTAAAGTCACGTAGAAGGGAAACAATAAAATAATAAAAATATAAAAAAATAACATTCTCACGATGTTTCGACTCCAACACAAGCAATCATCATCAGGTGTGAAAAACACAGCAAGAAAATTTCAACATTTTATTTTATACCTACGTGACTTAAAAAAAATATGTGACTTTAGCGAAACAACCAAAGATGATGATGATCGTGCACTTACTTTGTCCGTACCGCATTACCACCAATGCCGCTGATTTAGACACATCCTCTCGGAGAGCCGTGTGGCCAATGCGATGTGCAAAACATTCGTTTTACGTGGAGGGACTAAACTTGAGAAGCTAGGCGCGTTGTATTATGTGCGCCGATTCATTCATAATTTACTCGAGGGGCAGGCAACCTGCACCTTCCGACGGCGTGAATCCTGCCCATGCAGCCAATTGAGACACTGCCCATAAAGCCCGCACAATCACCAGCCGCTGCGCGTATGTTTCGTGTTATTTTTGTTTGTTGTACATACTGATACTGTGAATAATTTATCGTAATAAGAATAGGTTTTTCCCCTTTTTTTCTGGCAACAAAACTGAAACCTTCTTACAAGGAATCATGCCTGCATTAACCACAATGCTCGAGGTTAGAATGCAAACAAAAAACGTACTCTGATAATATATGCATTGTCTTTGAAACTGATTGGTCCGCACAAGAGACAGCTTTCTTTTGACCCTCGTCTAAAACGGTGTTAGACCAGAGGACGTCAAAAGGCGGACAGCTGTATGCCTATATATTATCAGAGTATGTTTTTTTTGTTTGAATTCTGACCACAAGTATTGTGGTTAATGCAGACATCATTCCTTGTAAAAAGGTTTCAGTTTTGTTGCCAAAAAAGGGGAAAACCCTATTATTATATTTTGGTACTGGAAAAGGAGGTCCCAAAATGTATCGTAATCTTCGATGTTGCAACGGTGCTGTGGTGATCACGCTAGATTTGCAAACCAGAAATCGCTGGTTCAAATTATATCTCCAAACGCGGCAGCTGAAACGATGGGCACGTTTATTAAATCCCCCCCCCCCCCCCAGCAGTGTAAATGTCTGGCCAACATAGAAGAGCAGGCCAAAATAATACTCTCTGGCGAGACTCACTGAGATCTCTAAAACTCCATCTAGCGGACCCCCCCCCTCCCCTTTTCGCCATCAGTGTCGTGAACAAGCAATTGCAGGACTGCACCATTATCTTTTATATTTATCAGCAATGATCGATCGACTGCTGATGAAGGCCACCCTCGGCCCACCTAATCTTTCATACGATGCAACAATCCATCTAGCATCTGCACCGGAACAGATCGCTCCCCCTCTTCATTGAACATGATGAGGGGGAGCACTTTCCATTCCTTGACTGCCACTCCATTGTTATTCTTGACCATTGTCCATCATACCATCAAAGCGACGTGCGCTGCCCAAGAACATTTACAAACAAATGGTGTCTGTGTGTGTGTCTCCGTATTTATTCCTCCTATTTCTCTGTATTCGTGTCTCTGTGGATGTCTCCGTGTCTGTGTGTGTGTCTCTGCGTATGTGTTTCACGCTGATCACCTTATCCGCTAGTGTAACACAATGCGGGTGTAATTGGACGCCGTTACACGGAAACTTATGGCAAAGGTCGCGAAAAATGTCAGATAACAGAACATGAATAAGGCCGCAGGTAGCGGGAGTTTTCACGGACCCTACAGCTCCCGCGTATAACTAATAGGAGTCGAGGGTAATAGGATTGCAAATGAGGAGTTCTGGATGTGGTTGATTGTAGAGAAACATCCCAGTAAACGTGGAATTTTGGGCCAAAGCTGGTCCAACGGTTCCAACCACTTGTCAACGTTGGCCAAAAGTTTGCCCATATTTTCTGGGATTTTTGTTTGTTTGTTCCCAGCCATCGTTTAGACCACAGGGAACAACACAACAGAGAATGTTGAAACCAACCAACCGCACGAGCAAGCTGGCCTTTAGGGACGTTTTCGTGACCGCCGACCACGTACATCAATATACGAAAATTAATCAAGACATCAAATCGGCTGCTGTTGCTATTGCCCTCTGTGTTTTAGAGCTCGGCGTTAGCCCATTGAGACATGGAGCCAGAGGGTCGCTTGTCTACAGTGCTGAATGAAAGTCCAGGATGCTCCCCAAGTTCCTATTGCAGACTCAATGAACAACCCCCCTTAATTTACAGGTGGCTCTCAGCTCGAACGTACTGTTTACGATTTTCAATAACGCCCGCGTAGGTTTCCCGCAGCTACGCTGCACAGCTGTCTCCCGCGTGAGCGATGTCAGGTTGCGTGAGCCCGGCTATGTGTGGTTGGGCACGATGTTCACATGCTTTCGCTCCACGTTCAGGTCCTCAAGAAGCCCCCACAACACGTGTAGCGAAACGTCCAGGCAACGGTGCCGAACAACACGTGATACAACCTGAAAACACAGCAGATATATGCAATAACTTTCAATAATTCTGCAATGATACATGTGCCTCTGTTTGCAAATTGAAGCCTACGTGATGTTTTTTTCCACCTTAGCCATAGCAGCGTTCTTAAAAAAACATATCCCTCAGATTCCAGTGGTAACGACAGAAAGTGTTTAATTTGTATTTTATGCAACCTGCCACGGGGTGTTACATTAATCATTCATCTGGAAATATTATTCTTGTTCCAGGCATATCTTATCTACATATACTGCAGTCTACCTTGAAATCAAGACATGCCCAAATTGCCTATCATTTTGGAGATGGCTATATCGTATGGTAATGTGGAAATGTTACTACCACTGTATATATGGAAATGCTTGTGCAGTGCAGGATCACATTGCCCCTTTAATAATCTACTGCTGGATGAAGGCATCCTCGTGCCGCGTCGGTCAAGGATGCTGTTTGGCCATCCTTCACGACCATGCTGGTTCGTATCGCACTCGTCACTGATGTGTTAGCCACACCTGAGAATCGAACCCAGGACGACCGGGCTCATAACCCAGTATCCTAACCAGTGCACTACCGGTCCACCCAAATTACCACGGCATTATTACACTATGATAGCAATTATTGTATACAATGTTATTAGATTATATTAAATATTGAACACTCTGCTATATTTTTCAAATACATTGACAGATTATATATTCAGAATTTTCTTTAGTCATGCGAGAGTCCAATTCATCATTATAGAGTATATCTGAAAAATACTTGGATGATAATATTCGGTACAGAGGTACGGTATATATGTAAAACGTGTAAATGTTACACTGTATGGTGGTGTATTTGGGGTTCTCTACATCATAGCGATGTATGTAATGCATTTCCATCCCTCTGTCAATCCACTGCTAGATGAAGGCCTCCCCGCGCAGTGTCGGTCGTGGGATTGTTTGACCAAATTTATCTCCGCTGGTTAGTGATGTTTAATAAAGGGAGGGGAAACCCCGTACTAAATCAGATATCACATGCCCAGTATTTCAACTTCATTGTTTCACAATGTGAGAATTCAAGGGACCAGGATGAGTCTCATTTGCAAGAGTAACCTTGAGGTAGTAATCTACCAGCAGGGGGTGATGATTGCTGTGTATAATCTCAATGTATTCATTTGCAGATATTATTTTTTAAAAGATTACCAATTTGGACCCTAACGCCAGCGAAAAATGATCTATTTTTGCAAATGGCATTAAAGTATTATCAACGTTCATTGCGAAACATACAGTGCGTATATTGAGGATTATTACACCCACAGTAATAATCAGCGCGGCCACTGTATTCGAACCGTTAACCTCTGCAACAAGGGGAGTAGCCTGGTTTAATAGCGCAACGCGCAAACCGCTGCATCACTGGAGTGAAGGTTTTTGAAACTACGTGTATGAATACGTATACTGCGGTAAAGAAGAGACATTTCTTTGGATCTAAACAAGAGAGTAGAACTACAAGCATAAGGCAGTTACAAACGTTGAGATCATCGGAAGAGAAAGAACAACATTCCATCATGTTGACTAATGGGATGCTGGGAGAATCGGCAGTATTTTGCTGAATAATGCACGACCACGTGCTTCACGACCCCACTCCCTAAGTGGTATGCAGAACTGGTCCGATCACTTGTATTTTCCACTGTGATGTTGATGGACTTTACGAAAGCAAACTATTGTATCCCCCCCCTCCCCCCTAATTAAAACCATACAGAATCCTATACATTTGATGGTTCACATTCGATATTTATTGGCTGTAGAAGTCCATCAAATGTCGCTATAAAACGGGCAATTTGTTTGACAATGACAAATTGAACTCCAAACAAAATCAATTAGTCATGTGATAAGCGGTAAATAATTCGACTTACACAAGCATTGTGATATAAGTGGACGGTTCGGGCTGCATTCTAAAACATAGCATGGTCATCAGGGATAGAACAGAGTTAATCCCGAAACACCATCCAAGCATACCAACAGCAATAACGCATCGTTAACATTATAATCAGCTCTTGATTCTCCATTGGTACGTTAGCTCATTAAATACTATAAAATCATAACCCAGGTAGAGACAATTTACCAATCGATGTCATGTTTGCAAGGGAGACCGATGCACAAGACACAGGAATTAAGGTGAGATGTAAAAAAAGCATCGAAGACGCCTTAATTAACGCACAGCCATGGCCTTTATATTTTTTTGACGCAATTATTTCGATGAAAGGCGTGTTTGTATTGTTTGTATTGATATGTTATTTTATGGCCAACAGACTGAAATGCTTCTGACAGGATGTGATGAAGCAGGATGAAA